GTCCGTGTAGAATAAAGAGAGAATAAAGGAGAAGTAAGATAAGGAGAAACTGAGGAGGGGAGGATGAGGGGGAAGAAGGGAAAGGGGGAGGAGGTAAGGAGGGGTGGACCGGCGGGGTACCGGGTCAGGTTGGGCCAGGTGGAGCCGGGTCAGGCGGGTGTGCCCTGACAGGTCCCACCATTCATGGGCCTGCCCTCTATGTAACTATATATACATAACTTGTAGATAGGTTGCACCCTGGTGATAAAATCAACTAGAGTTCTCCCTCTTCTAGAATCCCTTGCCAGTGTCAGGGCATGCCCCAACATGCCCTGCCTGACCCCTGCTCCACTTCCCTGCTCCACACCGCTTCCTCTTCCTTTCCCCTGTCAGAGACGGGGTTGAGACGAAGGAGTGTCTCTGTGGCAGAGGGCTTCGGCCTCAGCGACTTATGCCAGGAGCGCTGTGCCAAGTAACATGTCCATGCCCTAACTTACTAAACTGGCAACCAGAACTGAAAGGGGGTAAACTCTAGTCGATTTTATTACTGAAGTGTAACCTATGTACAAGTTGAGTATATATAGTTACAGCGAGGGCAGGTCTGCAAATGGCGGAGCCGAGCCGAGCGGAGCTAACGGGGTTAAACATTAGCCAACTGAATATTACCGACAAGTCGGGTTATGGGGTTAACGGAAAGGCAGGCGATAACCCAGAAATGGAAAGGAGGGATAGGCCCAAAGGTGGGCTCTGCAGGGCAAGCAAGTGTATTGCCCAGTGGAGGCAGGAGTGTGCTAGCGGACGTTGGAGCTGTCCGGAAGCCTTCAGGGCTCCGTACTTAGGGAGGTGTAGGTAATAAATTGAAAGGAGGGGGTGGTGACCATCGAGGGGTACCGAGGGGATTGCAGAATATGGGAGCTCCGAGGTTAGTGAAGGAGTGGAGGTAGACCAGAGGGATCAGAGGGATCGGAGGGATTGGAGGGATCAGAAGTCAATGGCCGGGGATGGATATGACATCCCCCTTCTTTCTTCTTTCTTTCTTTCTCTCTCTTACATGGACCACCTTTCCTGCTGTTCAAATCACTGGCACGCATGCCCATTCCCCCTCCTGTATCTTACTATCCCTATATCACTGTCACCGCTGCTGCACTCACCTTGCACCTACAGCAGACCCTCTTGGGATCTCCCATGGAAACACCTGGAGAGCCACAGCTGTGTGCGAGGGTGACGTGGTGCACCCCACGTGATTGATCCCGCATGTATATAATAACAGCTGGAGTGGGAACCGAAGAAGTAGCCTTCTTCTCACATTCCCACTTCAGACTAAGTGGTTGGGGATGCTCACCCTGCGATGGGACTGCCACTACGCATAGCTGCTATTCGTCCCACCAAGGGACAGCTCCAAAAGCGGTGAAGTCCCAGCGCAAGGGACCCAATGGGACAGGTGTCAGCTGTGCATAGCAGCGATCCCATCATGGGGTGAGCATCCCCAACCACTTAGTCTGAAGTGGGAAGTTGAGAAGAAGGCTGCTTCTTCTGTTCCCACCCCAGGTGCTATTATATACATGCAGTTAGGGTCACATGGGGGGAGCCACATCATCTCCACACACACAGCTGGACCTCTCTGGGTGTCTCCATGGGAGATCCCGGAGGTGTGCTGCTCTGTAGGTGGGAATGTGCATGGTGTTGGAAGTTACAGCCCGACGCCACTAGCAGTCCTAGGACCGTACATTCATGCTTTGAGAGCTTTGGGAAGGAGGTGCTTTTGGGGCAATCGACGGTGAACATAATGTTGCTTTGGCCCTTTGTTTTCACGCTTTGGCTACCGCTCGCGTTTCACTTCAGTGGTGTAGAACCAACATTAAATGTATATAAGGATAGGACTTGCACTGAGAGCCGATACATCACAATAGACGTATCGCGCTTCTCAGTTTAACACATGGTGGGTGCGGCGATCAGGGGAGCAGCATTAAGTGTGTAATGATACATAGAGAAAAGGGAAGTCGACTGTGGAATAGAAATAGAGAGAAAGAAGAAAAGGGAGAGGAGGAATGAGGAGTGATAGTGGGGGGAGTGGAGTAGGGCAGCACAGCACAGGGTCAGGTGGGGTGTGCCCTGACAGTCCCACATGCCGGGACCTTGCCGCTTTCGGAGCTGTCCCTGACAGCCAGTCAGTAAGTTAGGGCATGGATGTGTAACTAGGCACAGTGCTCCTGGGATAAGTCACTGAGGCCAAAGCCCTCCATTTCAGGGACATCATCCTTTACCCAGACAAAGCAAGGTCAAATGGCAGATGGAGATCAAACAGCTATCCCCTAAAATGCCCCATTGATTTCGCCATTACAGATAGCATAAGCATAAGTGCACGAACACGCATGAAAAATCATTCCTGTCAACTCCCATATACATCCGTACAATACTACATAGAGCCCAAGAGGAGAACACGGAATGTTCATATATGGAGCGAAAGCATTAACACCAACCTTGCCACTGTTGAAACAGCCTATCTATCGTGGCCTTCGCCTCACCTCTTTCCCCAGCTCCTAGCCCCCGTTGTGTATTGATCTCCCGATTCATCTGTATTGCCCTGAACATCGTTTCCTTGAAAGCCCAGGCTCGAGTCTTACAGAAATCTGTGAACTCCGTCAGGTCTCCACGTTGACAAGCATTCGCCCATTGCGTCCTCATGCGGTCCGACCATAATGTGCACCGTTGGTACTGAGAAGAATTTCGTGGGTCACAACGCCGCACGTGTTGGGCCAACGAACTGTTACGGATGACGTCGAAATAACACTCCTCGCAGGCAATGAAGCTGTCCCCGTCCCCATACCATCTCATGGGCTCGGGATCCGCTTCGACATGACCAAGTGGGCAAAGGCGTAAGTCCTTCCTCTCCCGGACATACCGAAGGAAAATATCAATATCACCGACCGCACCGGCTTCATAAAGCTTTCGGATAAGCGTAGGGAAGTAAGGAGAGTAAGGATACAGATCACAGATTCTCCGCTGCGATGTTGCTCCATCGTCCGGGTTCACAGTGTCACGATAGAAATGAGACCCGAATCCGAGGGCATAAAAGAATGTGTAGTAACAACCTGAGCAGATGTTACAGAGGTTTGGGGATGAAGTGATCCGATACCATTTCTTTCCAATTTCTTCCTGCCGGGTACAGGGTTCGCAATGGAGAATGACGAGGGCCACCTCACGCCATGTACTCACAGGAAGACCCAAGAGTCTGGCAATTTCCCAAGAGCATAGGAGGCGGCTATCACTCATCGCACATGCCAGGAGGGGCTCCTGAATAGAGGGCGAGATGAGTGGCTCTGACTGCGATACGGGTTCCCACTCGGTGAGATAATCGGAAGGAGCGATAAACCTCTTATGGCAAGGGTCACAAACGGCAAGAGACTTGATATCCAAGTTGTCCCGGAGTCTCCACCACAACTCGGTGTGGTTCCTGCTTTTCCGATAGCATTTCTTTCTGAATCCACTGCACAACTTCGTCACAACCGCACTCCACACAAGATCCTGATTGTTGGAAACAAATGGATTTAATACAAGCCGGCCCCACCCGTTACCCACATCGCAGGTCCACACCTGGTCTGGCAACTGAGTGCGCCAATGCTTTCGGAAATGGGTATAATGAGGAGTTGCCATCACGACATCCTCGTAGCACGCACGGCAAACGATGAAACCGGACAAGGAATCGTTAGGATTGTTGGGATCCACTTTGAGAGTGAACCATTCCATGCGTGGTTCAGGGCCTGGAACGTACCCTCTGCTCCCTAAACAGTCAGGCATTGAGGCCCTAATTTCGAGATATGCAACAAGTGGGGACAAATCTCCAGTCTTGAGGGCCCCATTGAAGAGAATTCGTACGCGTGGCGCCCAATAACCACATCTCATCGGACGTGGTGGGAAGGCGGGAACTTCTCTAAATGCCTGGCCGAACCGAGTTGCCGCGATGTGCTCTTCGTAACAAAACGAGCAGAAGAATACTCCTGGCGCTGCGGAGAGTTCATACCAAGTGGCGGAAGGCCAGGTTGCAATGATGTTTTTCGGACAGACACGAGCGCGACGCGTTGAAACTTGCCTGACGATAGCCAAACCTAATTGCACAACTATGAGTTGACTGACGGAAAAACGAGGGACTTGAACTCCCCTTGACCAGCCTGACGTTGGGAAAGATCATACGCAGAACGTTTCGCTGGATCTGAAAATCATTCCTTTGTCTGAGTATCTTGGCACAGTGGATAGCATGCCCAACGGCGCTAACCCGTTAACGATTGGTATGCTTCACCGATCTGCCCAGCAAGAAAGCTCAGGACCCATTGGACCCAGTTTAATGATATCTGTATCTGCGACTTACCAGTTTGAATCTCTCTGCAGCAGCCGTGTTCCCCCTGTTTTTGTCCGGGTGCCATTTATTCGCCAAAATCTGGTATTCTGCACCCAAATGACAGAGTCCCTCGTAACGCCAGCGATCAGTAGTACGTACGATCGTTGATCACATCTGCTGAAGCGGTTGACGGTACTTCGAGTGCCTCATAGTAGTTCATGGTGTCAAGAATGGTTCACCTGCCCACCTGCCTTATCGGTCATGTCGTCAGCGGAAAATCAAATTGTGCACTACGATTGATCGATTGCAGGCTTATTGAAGGCTGTTTCCCGCTGTAGTAGCCGGTGTGCCATCCTCAGGCAATGCGGCAGCAGAAATATGCCATAGTTGCGTAGTGCCCATTAGTATTTGCTGCCCTCTGTCATCTCAGCCCTTCAACGCAAAACCCACCAAGCGCGTTCTTTGCGGGTAACTCGCCTCATATGTACGTCGTCCCTCTGTTCCGTTTGGGCTCTCTTGTGGGATGGGGTACATTGTGCGCATCATCATATGATTGATGATCGCCGCTTGATGCATCACGCAGCATCACGCACTGACAAACGTGCTCTTTAATCTGTGAACTGCACTTCATTTGCATGGATTCGCCATTATATTTATTCTACAATTACAAATAGCATGTATACTGCACGAGCACACGCGAACGTCATCCCTGTTGCACGTATATTCGTGCAATACATAGAGGTCAGGGGGATATGGAACGTTCATTATGGAGTGAAAGTGTCAACACCAACCTTCCCACCGTTGAAACAGCCTATTTATCGTATCAGTCTCCTTACTTGTTTCTCGGGTTCCCCGCTCCCGTTCTGCAATCTCCCGACGCATCTGCATTGCCCTCAACACCGTTTCCTTGAAAGCCCAGGCTCGACTCTCACAGAGGTTTGTGAACTCCGTCAGGTCACCGCGAAGCATTCGCCCACGGCCTCCTCATGAGACCCGACCATAGTGTGCAGTATCCGTATTGAGATGAACTTCGCGCATCACACCGCTGCACGTGTTGGGCCAACGAGCCGTTACGAATGACGTCGAAATAACATTCCTCGCAGGCAATGAAACTTTCACCATCCCCATACCATCTCCTGCTTTCGGGATCGTCGGCGTGCTGAGGGCCTGTGCATGGGTGCAAGTCCGCCCTCTCTCGGATATACTGGAGGAAAATATCAATATCGCCGACGCAGAGGCTTCGTCAATCTTTAGGCCAAGCGGAAGATAGCGCGGAGAGTCGGGATTTAGATCACAGACTCTCCGCTGTGATATCCCTCCGACGTCCGGGTCCACAGCATCACGATAGAAATAAGAACCAAATCCGTGAGTGTAAAAAACTGTATAGTAACAACCTGAGCAAATATTGCAAAGGTCTGGGGATGAAGTAATCCGATACCATTCCCTGCGAACTTCTCCCTCGGAGGTGCAGGGTTCGCAATGGAGAACGACAAGGGCTGTATCACGCCATGTGCTCGTAGGAAGACCCGAGAATCTAACATTCTCCCAAGCCCATTGGGGACGGCTATCTCTCATCGCGCATGACAGGAGGGGTTCCTGGTTAGAAGGCGAGATGAGCGGCTCTGACCGCGATACAGATTCAAACATGACGTGATCGGAAGGCGCAATGAACCTCTTATGGCAAGGGTCGCAAGCAGCAAGAGACTTGAAGTCTGGGTCATCCCGAAGCCTCCACCACAGGTCGGTGCTATCCCCGCTCTTCCGATAGCATTTCTTTCTGAACCCGCTACACAACTTCGTCACAACCGCATTCCACCCAAGATCCCGGTTGCCGGGAACAATTGGATCGAATACAAACCGAGCCCACCCATAACCCACATCACAGGTCCACACCTGGTCGGGTAATTGATTGCGCAAATGTTTTCGAAAATCGATATGATGAGGAGTTGCCATCACGACATCTTCATAGCATGCACGACAAACGATGAAACCAGACAAGGAATCATTAGAATTGTTAAGATTCACTTTGAGGGTGAACCATTCCATGCGTGGTTCTAGGCCTGGAATGTACCCTCTGGCGCCCGAACAGTCAGGTATCGAAGCCCTAACTTCGAGATATGCAGCAAGTGAGGACAAATCTCCAGTCTCGAGGGCTCCCTTGAAGAGAATTTGCGTGGGTGGTGCCCAATAACCAAAATTCATCGACCGTGGTGGGAAGCCGGACACTTCTCTAAATGCCTGGCCGAACTGAGTTACTGCGATGTGCTCTTCATAACAAAACGAGCAGAATGATATTCCTGGGGCCGCAGAGAGTTCATACCAAGTGGCAGAAGGCCAGATTGAAATGCAATCTTTCGGACAGGCACGAGCGCGACAGGTGGAAACTTGCTTGGCGATCGTGGCCAAACATGTTTGCACCAACCATGAGCCGACTCCACACGGAAGGAGGGATGTAAACTTCCCTTGGCCAGTCTGACGTTGGGATAGATCATACGTGGATCGTTTCTCCGGATCTAATGGTCATTCCTTAGTGTCTTGGCATAGATAAGATGGCGCTGACCTATTAAAGTTTTGTATGCTTCACAGATCTGCCCAGCAAGAAAGCTCAGGACACATTGAACTCAGTGTAAAGTTACCTGCAACTTGCCAGTTTGAGTCTCTCTGAAGCAGTCGTGCTTCCCCTATTTTTGACTGGGTGCCATTTATTAGCCAAAATCCTGTATTCTGTATCCAAATGATAAAGAGTCCCTTATAAAGCCAGCGATCAACCGGTACATACGGTCTTTGATCACATCCGCTGAAGCGGTTGATGGCACCTCGAGCGCCTCATAGTAGTTCATGGTAGCAAGTGATTATTTGAATAGTCCAGCACACTTGCCTTATGGGTCGTACCGTGTGAAGCCATTGTGCAACTACGATTGATTGCAGGGGGCACAAGTATATGAGGGATTGATTGGCTTGGCACGATTCCATTACTTCCATAAGTATGAGTAACGTACTGCCTGCAATCGCGCGAGGGCATAAACGTATAATATATTGCGCAAAATCATCCTTGCCGTACGCATTGTTTGCACTGTACGCACATGCTCAAGGTGAGAATATGTACGAAACGTTCGGGATGTTGTCATTCCCAACCTTCCCACTGTCGGTGCAGTCCGTCTATGATTTCTTTGTTTGTTTCTCCAAACTGGTCATCATGTTTGTCTCCGCGGGAACCACGGACTTCTCGCTCCCGTTCTTCAATATGGAATGCCCTGACCACTGTTTCCTGAAAGACCAAAGCTCGACCTTTACATAGCTCCAGGAACTCCGTTAGATCCCCACGTCGACATGCATTCGCCCATTGAATCCTCATCTGATCTGACCATAACATGCAAAACCCATTTTGAAGAGAACCTCGCGGGTCGCACCGCAGCACATGTTGGGCCAAGGGGCTGGTACGAATGGCGTCGAAATAACACTCCTCGCAAGAAATGAAACTGTCTCCGTTCCCGTACCATATCCTGCTTTCGCTATCGTCTGCAGCCAGCGCACGTGGGCAAGGACGCAAGTTTACCCTTTCTTGGGTATACCGAAGAAAAACATCAAAATTACGGATTGCGCAAGCTTCTTCGATCTTTTCGTAAAGCTGGGCAAAGCGTGGTTGGCTAGGATTCAGATCGCAGACTCTCTTGTGCAGATCTGCTTCAATGTTCGGGTTCCCGGTGTCACAATACAGTGAAAAGTGAGACCCAAATCCGATAAGGCCGAATGTTGCGTAGTAACAACCTGGGCAAATGTTACAGAGACTTGGAGATAAGGTAATTCGATACCATTTCCCACCAAATCTGCCCTCGGAAGTGCAGGGGTTGCAGTGGAGGATCATGCGAGCCGCATTGCACCACGCACTTGTAGGAAGACCTGAGGATGTAACCATATTCCATGCCGTTTGAAGGCGAAAGTCACTTATCGCACATGAGAGAAAGGGCCGGCCCTGGTCCGAGGACAGCGCCAACAACGACAAGAATTTGAAATCTGCTACACGGTCGGAGGGGGCGATATACGACGCGTAGCAAGGATCACAAATAGCAAGTGAATTGTCATCTAAGTCATCCCGAAGTTTCCACCACAACCCGAACCCGGAGCGATTGCCACTCGTTTGGTAGCAATCCTTCTCAAATTGGCTGGACAGCTTGGTCACAACTCCATCCCACCCAAGATCCCGGTTGCTGGGAGCAAACGGATCGAGTACAAACCGCACCCATCCATCATCCAAGTCACAGACCCACATCTGGTGGTGTAACTGTGTGCGCCAATGCTTTCGAAAATGGATATGATGAGGAGTCGCCATCACGACATCGTCATAGCACGCACGACAAACGATAAAGTTAGACAAGGGATTATTGGGATTATTGATATTTGCTTTGAGAGTGAACCATTCCGTGCGTGGTTCGGGTCCTGGAATGTACCCGTTGTATCCCACACAATTTGGTATTGAAGTCCTCATTTCGAGATATGCAACAAGTGGGGACAAATCTCCAGACTTAAGGGCTCCTTCGAAGAGAAGTCGCACGCGTGGTGCCCAGTAACCACAGTTCATTGGATGGGGCGGAAGAGGAGAAATTTCCCTAAATGCCTGGCTGAACCGAGTTGCCGCGATGTGCTTTTCGCAACAAGACGAGCAGAACGAGATTCCGGGAACCACGGAGAGTTCGTACCAAGTAGCCGAAGGCCAGGTCACGAAGCCATTTTTAGGACAAGAACGGACAGGCAGTGTGGAAACTGGCTCTGAGACGCCCGAATCTGATTGCACAATGTTAAAGAGATGCACATGGCAGGAATGAGAACATGGACTTGCTTTGACATTGTGCAGGTTCATAGGTGGAACGCTCCGCCGAATCTGAAGATCCCATTCATTAGTGTGAGCGTCTCGTATGTAAGAGACCTATGTTGTTAACCTTTCAGTCTTTGGTACCCATCAGTGATCTGTTCAAAAAGAGGGCTCAGAACTCATTGAGCCCAGATTGACGTGACTTGCCAGTTGAAACCTCTCTGAAACGGGAGCGTTTCTCCTGTTCTTGTCTGGATGGGATGAACGGTGTTTGGTCGCGTCCGCTGAGGCCATTGACGAAATTTCGAGAGAAGTGACATTTGTTTTAAATAATTTTAAATTCAGCGCGGTTGGGGTTGGCACGTGAACATCACTTGTTGGTGACCGTGGCGCTTAGCCGAACGGCTGGACTCGTCTCTCCGCTGAGTCTTAGTCTGGGCCAAAGGAGTGCTTATGGACAAGAGCTTCTATGACTTCGTAATATTAAATAGAGTAGTTTAACACCGTTGGTCAGCGACCCTAAGTGGAGGTAATAGCACATTCCTGGTAATGCCCATCAAGCTGCTTGCGGTTGCTTGCGGTTGCTTGCTCAGTGAGCGAATTTGAAACATCCATATATATATATATATGAGTACACTATCCCAAAGTAGGTGTCATATATTCACTATTATTTTAGTCCCCAACAACCAATACTTACCAATCATGCCATCCACCTCGACTTGTTCACCACCCTCAACAGGCATACCATGCCTGTGCCTCTTCCACAATGCATACACGCATGCACGAAAGGCTAATAAGTATGAGATCATCACGATCCTCTCCCATCACATAACTGCAGTGTGACTTGTCATCATCGATAGCCAACACTCGAAACACCATCAAGTCCCCCCATTTGACCCAAGATCCAGCTGCGAGCGCGTCCGCTTTCTCTCCCTCCAAACCTTTCTTTCAATTATTCACTGCTAATGTTGCCTCGCACGCGGTTTTGGTTGGATACTGTCTCTTGGGTCTGATTTGAATGTTGCCTTACTAAGGTAAGTATGCGAGATTTTGGGATTGAGTGATCACCGGAACGAATGATGGACAGGCTAAGTATGCATGTTTAGGGTGGGTTTGGGAATACCTCAAGATGAACCTAATGTGTATGGTCAATAACCGTGACCGATCTTCAACGCTCAGCCAGACGTCATCACAGCGCCAGCGATTTCGCAGAGTCAAGACGTATGTACCCAATACGGATGATTATCTTACGTCCTTACGTCAACCGGTGGTTCGCCCCTCGGCGGGTATACATGCCTCTTCCCTTCCCCTGCATGGCTGACCACGCACAACACGTACACCTATTGTATCACTAATAAGAGCGTCACGACCACACGTCTCATTAAGTACCACGCCCCGTCTGGTTGTCGGAGCTGACGCGGTTCGAATGAATTCTACACCGTAACTGTATTCATTTTTAATCGTCGGTTCGGCGGCAGAGCGCTGGTCCGATCGATCAAAAGGGCGATATGTAGTAATATTCCATGTGAATTGATGGAATTCGTCTACATAGTGGGGATAGTGCAAGCGCTTGCGGGCCCGCCTTAATTGACGGCGCTTATGACGTAATTACGCCAGATATGCCAATTGCGCGTATGCCCTAGCCACGGTAAGCTCGAAGCTGCAAGTACTTAATTGTGTGGTACGCATTTCCCATTTGACTCGAGACTCGACCGTACTAGTGCTAGCGAAAGATCCTCGCTGAACGTCCGTTCCCCCACTGCTGCTTGGTTCACTCGATCTCACTTCCCACTTATAGCTAGAGCTTTGGCCCAGCATGTCAATTATATTGAAATCAGTGATGATGCGTTCTGAATTGTGTTAATATTAGAATATGCGAGATTATTAGTAAGAGTCATAATAACCAGCCGAAATATCGCTCTCACCTCAGCTTCACGTTGAGGGAGATGATAATGCGAAAAGGCGAATGTTTTATATAAAAAATGGTAGGGCCCCAGCGCGTAGTGCGCCAGGCCAAAGAGTGGTCGGACCCGAGTCAAAGCGGAATGTCAAAGCGAAGAAGAATAAATTACAACCACGCCACGGCCTAAGCTCCTACTGAGTGCCCGTTGAATTCCAACAGTTAACTAATATCACGCGTGCATGCAGGCGCGTGTGGGGGTCGAACGTACGTTTACCTGCATTATACGTACACCTGTACATATATAAATATCCCTGGCCTAATTACGCATGCATGCTAATACCGCTGTAGTGCACTCAGTGCGTGTAGCTGGCCCACTCTCATTAAGCCGTGTCCACCGTAGAAATTATGGAACAATTAGTCCATTTATATTTATTGCACTTCAAGTGCTCCGTATATGTTGTACGACCACGTACTAGTCACCAAACACCAAATAATCTCACTCGTTTCCCCCAACTCTCCTCAGCTCTCACGCAACATCGCGTTCAGGCGAGGGAACATCTCTCGTCGATGGCACCCCACCTCCCGGTCCACCCATCGCAATCCCACCAACTCCACTTCCACCTCCTTTCACGAAGAAATGCTTCAACGTACTCACGATCATTGCGTGATCATCCAGTGCAGACCCAGAATAGATGGCAATGATCCCCATAGGTGCTATTTGACAGTTCTTAACACCTCAAGGAAAAATCACAAAAATGGGAAATGGGAATGGCAGAAAAAAGAAGTCAAGCGCATTAGTATTCTTCCGCGAATGAGAATAGAAAAGAGAAAAGAGAACAGGAAAACTTACCACTAGCCAAATAGGAAATGCACCCCCTTCGATTCTGTACTCCGGAAAGGGCAAACCCAACTCTTCCGCACTCCTCCCAAGCACGCTTCTCCCCTTTTCAATATAAAAACTTGAGTGCCCAGTCCGTTTGACGACGTTCATCATGGCGTTCAGACGAGCCCATGAGTCCGGCGAGATGTCGGATCCATCCCCTATGGAGCAGGAGAAGAGCGGCGAGCCTTGAATTGTCTACAACCAGATGAGTCGATCGGGTCAAGTGAAGATGTGCGATGGAATCGGTATGTAGGTAGGAAGGATGATAGTGAGTGGAAAGAAAAATCAAGCAGGCCCCCCTCCCCTCGCTCACCTGAATGCTACAAACGGCTCCTCGCCCCCTTGCATATTTAACGCTCGCTCTAAATCTCTTGCGAAGGTTCATCCCTATCGTAACCGCATCTTCCGATTTGAATGATGTAAATCGGAGAGAAGATTCTTCGGCGAGAATTTCCTGAGCGATCTGAATGAGGTGAATAGAAAGCAAAGAGGGCGATTGCAGATGTTATAGGAGCGGCCGTAGACCAAAGGGAAAGATGAGTTTGAATCTTCTTTAAGATGGAAGGACCAAGATATCGTACCTCGGCATCGGAAGGCATGGGTGGGGGCGGGGTTATGAAGTGGATCTTGAAGCTTGGGAACTGGAAGGAAACCGATGGGGCCTTTTGGTGAATACGCTAAACGTCTACGATGACTCGATTCGAATTTGATGCTGAGCTTGTCGCTGAAAAGAAAAAATGATGAGGAAGAACTGAAAACAAAGGAAGGAGTAATGGTAGTGTTTAGATGCACATGGGTATGGAATGGCCAGAGGTTTACTCGATCTCGATCGCTTACCAGGTGGAAGTGATCGCGTGGTGATCAACTAATCGACTGACTACAACCACGCAGAATTGACTCCAAAAAGCCGCTTACGACGCTCCAAAGAGAACAAGGCGATGGGTCCCGACTTGGTGATGCGGACACGAGTAAAAAAGACGAAAACAAAGAGCTGCGAGGAACGAGAAAGAGATGGAGAGAACGCAGGATAGGAGACGAACTGAGCTTTCTAGCTCTTCAGGCCTGCCCGCGCGAGAAGGCACAAGGCTAAGGGGTGGGTTACATGCGATTAGCGCATGGTTATCGGGCCGATGCAACGCACTCAGTGGAGAGCTTCCTCACTTGACGACCAGATTTCACATTTAACGTGGCGAGTGAGTAGTTCCGCACGTTGGAGCTTTGTTGAAAAACGAGGTTACGCCAGCGAGGGGAGATTATGGAAGTAGACCGCTAAGAGGACCCCGGCATACACCGAGGGAGCTCCGATCTAGGAGAGGGCCGAAAATCGGTCTGACCTGGAGGAGGGTCAAAATTGGCTTTGGACGGAAAAATGCTACATCCCATTGAGGGCCTTTCGGGCAGGCTGGGATCAAGCCTTGATCTAGTAGAGGGCCGAAACCTGCCGAAACTCGACGGCCGTGCATAAATTAATGAAGGCGACAAGGCTTGTCGAAAAAAACTCAGCCGTCCTCAACAGTTTCTATCCTGGTCCGCTAGTGCCATCAGGACTACAAAAGAAAATTTATGGACTAGGTTCATTAACATCTGTCTCACCTATACCTCATCCTGGTGTGCCAAACCTGAATGTTGTCCTTTGCCTCAGCAATAATCCTCCCGACGTCTTTTTCGTCCTTCACAAGAAAACAATTTTCCTTGCACAAGGTTCAGGCTAGTCAGCCAATTAACCCACCCTATCAAGGGGTGTTTTTTACGCTTCAAATAGGGCCTAAACGGCCTATTTCAATGTGGACGTCCTGGTGATGCGGCTTGCTGCCAAAAATGGACTGTGGGAAAATCTGAGGATGTCCTGATAACTATGTGCCCCGTGATGTTGTACATACGGCTATTTAAATTGGGGGTGGGCAACCCAGGTTAGTTCCGTGTCCTGATTATGTAAGCCCAATGTAGTAGCCGAGTGTGCCATAAATGTCTCATGTACTTTCTCAACACACACAACAAATGAAGAGGAACTTCATTAGTAAACATCAATCAGAACAACCTAAACTAAAGATCGGACAGAGGAATTTTTGAGAAAATCAAAAATGGCTTTGTTGTGATCGAGAAAATGAGTCTATTTTACCCATATCTTCGTTTGTAGGAAGTTACATCGAAATTCCTCTGTCCATTTTGTATAAATACACTATCTGCTCCATATCCCCGGTTTATAAGTTCTCTAGACAATCCTGGAGAGAGAAAGTACAAACGGAAAATTTTGTTATGGTTTATTTGTAATTTCACCCTGATGCGTCGGGGCAAACACCGCCCACCTGCTCCCTCGACACTTGATCTTGACTTGTGTTCCTGGAATCTGACCTGTACTTAGCACTGACACAAGTACCGGCTTCCCTACTTAGCTTATATTGGTCTGCTTTCTCACAAGGCTCAATACATTAGATGGGAATAAAGACTCAAGCCCAATCCAATGCACTCTATCATGCCCGTCTTGCACGCTGGGGTCATACTAGCTCAGAACAGGATAGCTTTCTCCTTGCTCCACCACCCCGTAGTGATGGACGTCGTAATTCTCGCTCAAGTTCACCATATGCTAGAACACCATCCCAATCCTCCCGCTCTCCATCTCCCCAGCCTTCCATTGAATCAAAGATCTCAAACCCCCGGCAACAGATTGGCGGACTAAGGCGTCAAGTCAATGGGCTGCTTTCCAAGCTCAACTCACTTTCAGAAAGAGGCACCAAGTTCAAACAAACCATTCACACCCTTCGGCAACGTTGCACACGATCCAAAAATGCCAACAATACCGCTAATGGGAAGCTCAGTGACTCATTGGCTCTACTCTCAATAAAGGATACCCAGATAAAGAAAGCAACCACAGAAATAATGATCCTGGAATCGCGGACCATTGTTCTTGAAACGCAGGTGGGCCGGTACTCAGCCAAGTGGAGAAAAGCAAGGAGAGATGTAAGGGGGTATCAAGGGAAGCTGAAAGGGAGCCTGAGGGCATCTCAAAAGCGACATTATGCTGCACAGAAAGCAGCCAAACGACTTTCTCTTAAGGCAAAAGGTGCCTATTCAAACAGTGCACGCATTCTGATGCGCAAACTGCTAGCAGAAGGGATCCCATCATCGAAGGTGGCTGGTGTCATTAGAGCCTGTGCCAAAACATTTGGAATTGAGATCGACAAGTTGCCGAGTCGTAGATCGGCATCTCGGGCAGCTTGGGAAGGGGGAATTGCTGCTGAAATGCAGATTGGAGTCGAGATGCAGAATACAGCAGGTGATTATACTAGCTTACTGACAGCAGACTGATGCCTAATAATAACACGAAGGTTACACATTAAGCTCAGATGGAACTACACACAAACACGTGAACTACGAGTCCGTCCATGTTACTGGAATGTTCCCTACATATTCAGACGCCGAGCCTGGGGAAACTCGGCAAGTCAGAACCTGGGGGGTTCGTGCAATGCCGTCTCACTGCAGTGCAGATCAGCTGGAGAATATAAAGCAGTCAATGCATTCTTTCTTTGGTACTGCCTCGAAAAGCCCCATACTTGCCGATTTCAATCCAAATCTGGGGGTTAGAAGTGCGGTTATGAACCTAAAAGGGATGAATTCCGATCATGCTGAGGATCAGAAAAAACTTTTTCGTCTCACAATGGAGTGGAGACGTGAAGAATGGATGATTTTCCTTGGCATTCAGCACTGCGAAACCATGAGTGACAAGTCTCGCGAGGATTTTAACCATCAAACTATTGCAAGCCTAATCGGCAAGCCCGAAGGTGTACAAGCGTGGTTGACACTTACCGATCAGGAACAGACAAAGCATTTCCATGCACACACATTGGAACGGCTCTGCACACTCGGAGAAGCTATTTACCAGCAACTACCACCAGAGCTGAAGCGCCCAATAGATACTGTTGTCTGGTGTGGATGCGCGATGCACAAAGATCTTAATACTGTCAAAGCTGGAGCCAAGGCTATGGCTGATGCGTGGTCTCAGATCAGAAATGTTGGTATGCCGGGTCCAATTCCCTTACTAGGTGTTGCAAAGGCCGCGCGGGAAGAGCTTACCAAATCAGGCCTCACAAATGCCAAAAAAGCCGACGAACCCTTGACCGAAGCAGGGGCTATCAAACTTACATCCTTGTGTGGATCACTATTCAACCACAAGGACGATAAAAAGGGTTGTCAGGATGCACACTGGAATTGGTTCCATGAGAAGCATGGGCGTGTCCGTTGCTTTGCCGATACCAGCAATACCCGATTTGCCTCACATCTATATGCAGCCATTGAGTTGCTCATTCTGCGCGACGAGTATATCGAGTTCTTGGAGAGCTGGAGAGATAGGAAACATCAGCCAGGGTTCACAAACCTAGAGGAGAACTGTTATAAAGGTCTCCAGGACGCGCCAACAGTGACCGAGCTTGCTGTCCTCGCACTTTTTGGTCTAGCAGTCTCTATCCCATATATGGAGACCATGCGATGTGATGATTATCTCTCGCAAAATATGTTAGACATGGGACCATTCCATGATCAACTTAAGATGCACCTGGAATGCTTAATCGCAAATCCGGACTTACTCCTTGACACAACGACGCACGGGAACAAGGGGCACCTGATGAGAGGAATATGGCACGAACCATTAGTGTTTGAGGCACTCAAGAAGGAGCAAAAGAGGGGATGCCTTCCACACCTTCGTAAAATGCTGATCGAGTTCTGTTGTGGAGCCTTAAACAAGTGGGCAAACTTCACCTCCGAGTTCGCAAGTGATGGAACCATTGCATCCCTCACCCCAGCAGAGAGGGAAGACGCTTTCACGCCAACAACCAATGATGCTAATGAAGGCATGTTGGGCACTTGGCGGGTTTGGGCACGACGGTTTCCGTCCCTCAGCAAGCACCGCTTCAATGCAATAATGATGTACAGTCGAAATAACACTGAAGCCTTCATCAAGGCACACTTCACTGAGGCTCACCATGCATATGTCAGGGCGGAAGCTCGAAGGCGCGACAAACTCAAGCTAGAATCAAACCAACGGGTACAACTGATTAAAGCGGAGGAGGCAAGGATTGCAAAGGCTCGTCAAGCTCAAATAGATCGCGCAAGCAAGAAAGATGCAGAGAACAGGAAGATGGAAGGGACTCAACTTCAACTGGATATCACGGAGGTCGCGAAGATGACAGGTGAAGCTATGATTGAGCAGATCAATAAACACCGGTGGCTCGCACCAGATGATGCATCAATTCCGAATCGAACAACTGTCAAGAAGATGCGCGTCAGTGATAGGAGGACACTGCTTCAACATATAATAGAGCGCTATAATACGCAGTAGACAGAATCACAGGAATACACTCACTGGAGGTATCATAATCCGATCCCTTACTTTCACATCTTATTTACCACTGATCTTTCCGATCAAGTCTCAAAACTATAGTACACGATGTATACTTTGCTTAAATAATCTCATATGAGGTTTGGGAGAGTGAGGATGTGAGTTATGAGGAAGTTGTTTCGGGGCTCATGTTTGAGACGATTCTGATTACATAATCGGGACACGGAACTAACCTGGGTTGCCCACCCCCACTATTTACATAAATAGTAGACAGGGAAATGGAAAGATAAAGGGAATTAGGGCCGAGGTGAGGGAATGGCCAATGTTTCTCAATGATTTCAAACATTATACTCTGCCATGGTGCTTTCAAGGGGATTTTTAATGCTTATAAAGATTTTGGAGATTTTACAA